ACAGGTGTGTGCCACCACGCCCAGCTAATTTTTTTGTATTTTTAGTAGAGATGGGGTTTCACCATGTTGGTCAGGCCAGTCTCGAACTCCTGACCTCATGATCCACCTGCTTCGGCCTCCCAAAGTGCTGGGATTACAGGTGTGAGCCACTGTGCCCGTCCTATCTGCTTCTTATAGGGCACTAGTCCCATTCACGAGGGCTCCACTCTCATGACCTAACCACCTTCTAGAGGCCCCACTTCCTGATACTATCACACTGACAGTTTGGATTTGAACAGATGAAGTTAGCATGTGGGGGCGCAAACATTTCGTTCTCAATGCTCTGCATGTGCTGGGCACAGTCCGGCAGGCCACCCCCGGCTGTCACAAGGTAGTGGTCACAAGAGTCTCAAGGGAGACAAGACAGGGCTAGTCCACGGCACAAGTGCTCATCAAGCCTCCTGGTGGGAAATTTCATCCCATTCATTCTCAGAGTCCTCTCATGGTCACCCAAGTCCTGGCACATAAGTCACTCCAGAGTCACCCACGGGCTTGTCTCCAGGCCACTCGCAGTCTGCCTGGAGGGATAGCGGCAGAGACTCTAGCGAAATGATCAGCTGCGAGAGTTGCAGTGGGAGCGAAGGAAGAGGAGGGAGGAGGGAGGATAGACAGGACTGGGTGGTGCTTGGATGGAGTCTGCAAGGCAGCAGGAAGCAAAGATGGTTTCACGTGGATTCCGCCTCTCCTAGATCCATCTGGGCTAGGTGGGACTCCTGGCTGGGGCTCCCATGGCCTGAGTCGGCCTGTTCTACTGCCTTGACTTCCCAGCCTCCATTCACCCTTCTGCTTGGGGAGCCAGCCCTCTCCAGCCAGCAAGCTGCCTTTGCCACTGCCACTGCAGAAGCCCTCACAGTGCCCATCACTGTATGGGGGGTGGAGTCACACTAGCCTGGCTAGTGCTGGCCTTAGGAGCAGGACAGAGGCAGGCTGGGTGGAGGCCATGGATTGCGTCCTTACCTACGTGCACAGGTATCCCTTCAGAGGCACCATGCACGGGAGTCCTCTGCATCACTGTTGCCATGTGTTTCATGTTTACATATGTTAGAAACCTCAATATCTTATTTTTGCTGCAGCTCCTTGTGTTTTACAGAAAACAAAGAGAAAAAATTTTCATTTTCTAACATACTTCTCATTTCCTACACTCTTTCTTCTTGTAGATCTGAGTCTCCATATTGTATCCTCTTCAGCCTGAAGAAATTTCTTCTTTTATTTTTATTTTTTTGAGATAGAGTTTCACTCTTGTCGCCCAGGCTGGAGTGCAGTGGTGCCATCTTGGCTCACTGCAACCTCAGCTTCCCGGGTTCAAGTGATTCTCCTGCCTCAGCCTCCTGAGTAGCTGGGACTTACAGGCATCCCCTACCGCATCCAGCTAATTTTTGTATTTTTTTTTTTTTTTTTGAGACGGAGTCTCCCTCTGTCGCCCAGGCTGGAGTGCAGTGGCCGGATCTCGGCTCACTGCAAGCTCCGCCTCCCGGGTTCACGCCATTCTCCTGCCTCAGCCTCCC